AGGACAGCGAGTAGAATGGACCACTACTTTTGTGTAAAAAAATTACTTACAGGCGATATCCGAAATACACAAAAACCGGAATTTTTTATTTTGATTTCGTTGAAGAATATATCCAAATATTGCGACAAGCAAATCATACAGATGAGTCTAAGTTTAGAGATACAGAAGGGCCTCTTGCTTTTGAGATAATCCCAAAATATTTAGAGGTTCAAATGAATCAAAAACAGAAAAAAATCCTAATTACACAATTGAAGCCAATCGATACGCCTGAGAAGAGAGTTAAGGACAGGGAAGGATGGAAAATGGACCACGACGACTAACAGTATGACGGAGTGCTTAAATATTGGGCAAATGTCCCTGGTCAGGTCAGTGCTCTGTGACATAATTTCAAAAGCGAAATCTTCCAAAATCGATATGGATATAAGGGGCTTCTTACGTATTGCAGTGTTGTAGGGTATCATATGGTCGGCCCCGCATGACTATAGCCTTTGCTTACTTGTTTATAATATAAATTATATGGTCTTTACAATTCTCTTGAAGATGATTACTTAAAAACTTAGATATGTTAAAATTAATTGTACACGTATTTAAACATATTTTGTCTCTGGTACTCTATGTAATAGCCGAGAACTGTATCATAAATTCTAAGCATTCCAATCAAAACTGAAATAGTATTTGCAATTTTTAGATACTTTCAATGTAAATTTGACATTATAAAATTTTACCTCTGTTTGAAAATAGGCACTCTAATGCTGAATAGGTAATAATATGACTTTTCTTTTCATGACAAATTTCAGAACCTTAAGCTCATCTTGGAAGAAAAACAAACAGATAACCAATATAGTTTTAGAAGAGATCATATGAGGGCTTATAACCATGGGTACATTAAAAAGTGGGACTAAGAACCATTTTTTGAAGTTTTTACTTTTCCATCAGTTCTTATCAGCGCCAGTCAACTTTTTAAGAATATCGGTCGTATACCCGAGGCAATTCACAATATTGATACTTCCACAACCAAAACATTATTCGGGATATTTATATTTATTCTTCAAAAATACATACATACATCTACTACACATAAATGTAGCACATTTTATATACTTTTTTATAACAAAGTAAAGAAACTCGTACCTATAACTACTACTTCCAACTCTATAAAGTAAACAATAATCATGGAAATCCTTTGGGAAACCTAATAAAAATTTTAAGTGCTTCTTATTTTTGTTGGATTTGTCATCACAAATACAAGGTAGGAACGAGACACCATTGATGTATCTAGCAAGAGAATCACTGCACGCGAATGTGAAATAAATTAAATGAAATAAAATATGTAAAAGAAAAAAAAAAAAACAAGTTAAAAAGTATCTTCTGGTTTTGCCGACAGATGTATACCCTCAGGCAATGTACGATATTTTAAAAATATTTTGACTTCTGTTATATTATTGAAATGTTTAACCCGTAGGTTCCAAAGGAATGTGCCAATATTGGTCATTTCGTATCGAACCTAATAAAAATTATATAAATATTGCGACGTGCCAGGTTTGATCCGTATTAGTTACTTCCTTTACTTTATATGACATATAAAGTAATTTTTAGAAAATGTTAACATGTGCGTGAGGTACCAGACATAGTCGACCGAAGTATTCTATTTTCATGCTTCATCTTATACATATAAAACCATTGGTATAATAATAGAGAGATACAGTTAGATATAACAAGTTGTGAAGAATCGCTGACTCGTTTCAGAAGTTATTACAGATAAAAGTATTGAAAATTGTGACCCTTTGTGAGTGAGGTACCAGAAGGGGTTCACAGATATATATCATGTGCACAACAGATATTGTATTAGGAAAAGTGTTTGTATGTATGAAATTTCGCTTTCCTTAATCATTTTGTTTTTCATAATCTTGAACCCTATTTGGGCCAGGTAGCAAAAGAAATGGTCCGATCTATACATTTTTATAAAAGATCATGTGTTGATGGAAAAATTGAGATATACCAAGCCTTGAATGGAATGTTCATTTCGCTTTTTATGAGCTTCGTGAATATTTAAAATTTTTAGCCTCTATGGAGGAGGTTCCGATATTTTCCACCCTAACACCAGATTTTCGGTTTATAAAATTATTGGAATGTGTGAAATTTGAAGACAATCGGACTCTTACATCATAATTATACCCTACACCACAAGGTGGTCAGGGTATTATGTCTTTGTGCATTTGTTTGTAATAGGCAAAAGGAAACGAGATAGACCCATAGTTCGTTTTGATGATATGCATAGAATCACATTCTGAGTCGAGTTATGCATGTCCGTCCGTCGGTCCATGTAATTTTGTAAACAAAGTACAGTTCGCATTTATTGTCCTATCCAGATGAAATTTTGCACAAATCATTTGTTTGGCCCAAGGACGAACCTTATTGAAATTGGATATAATTGGTCAAAATTTAGATATAGCTCCCATATATATCTTCGTCCGATTTGCTTTTTATTGTGCACCAAACGTGTAATATCGGTCCGAATTGTATGGAATTTTGCACGTAAGATCAGATTGGACCCGAAAATAAGTATGCCAAATTTGATCGAAATCGGTTCAGATATAGCTATAGCCCCCATATATATTGTTCATCCGATTTGCTATTTTTGTCCTCCGCAGCCGTAATATTCACCCTGTAACAACAATATTTGGGGAAATATATCAAATACAGCTCAGAAATACATTTGCTAAATTTTATCGAGATCGGTTCAAATTTGAATATAGCTCCCATATATAACTTCGTCCGATTTACCTTTGATTATGCACCAAACGTCTAATATTTGGCCAAATTGGATGAAATTTGGCATTTACGACCGAATTGAGCTAGTATGTCAAATTTGGTGAAGATCGGTTCAGATATAGCTATAGCTCCCATATATACTGTTCATCCGATTTGTGATATTTGTTACCCACAGCCTTAATATGCACTCCAACGAGTGCATACCCACGATATTCAGGCCCCGGACTTTCTTTACTGGTTTATAAGAGTTGTAATTATTCAAAATGTTGGCTCCTTGTGGGGGAGGTACTTGATGGAGTGGACCGATATTGACAATTTTCGCACCTGACCTAGCATTGACGCAAATATTAGGATTTTCAAAGTTGGAGCAAAATCAGATGATCGCTTCTCTTTCTGTGCAAAAAATATTTTTTGAAAATTTCGACCTTTTGTGGGGGAGGTACCAGAAGGAATGGACCGATATATTCCATCTTGGCACCAGACCTTGGGTCAATAAAATTATTGGGATATGTGAAACTTGAAGATAATCGGACTCTTATATCACATTTTATAAGAGTTGTAATTATTCAAAATTTTGACCCTTTGTGGGGGAGGTACTTGATGAAGTGGACTTATCTTGTCCGTTTTCGCATCATATTTCGATGATTTATTATTAATTAATGCGTTAATCGTGCATCACCCACCAATAGACATAGCCACCAATCTGACATATTGGCTGTGCGGTGACAACACAACCGATCGATGTTGCCACAGCAATATGCAAATCCGTGGTATTATTATAATCACCGAATGGAGAAGGCGCACAAAAATACACATCGAAAAAATCCTTTACAAAAGGAAATATGAGAGGGAGAGAGATAATGAAAGAACAAACGGCAGGGAGAAAAGGACAATTATGTTCAAAAATATAATTGATTTAAGTGTGGATTTCCCGCCATGGGAAATAAAATGAAAAACATATTCAATAACAAACAAGTTAAAAAGCAGTAAGTTCGGCCGGGCCGAACTTTTAATACCCTCCACCATTTGCAACGAATTTGAAAATTTTTAAAAAATAAAATCCTTAAAAAATTCTGTTAAAATTTTAAAAATACCGAATATAGCCGTTATATTGGGGTCTATACGACGTGGACATACATACCATTACCATATTCAAATTCGAAACTTAAAATAAACAGTGAATAATGTAGCTAAAATCATCAAAATATCGTATATAAGGAGGTGCCGTTATATCGGAGCTGTGTGAAGACCTGGACCAGCATAGACAATTTTCTGTAACAGGCTGTAGCATCCATTACGAACTTCAAATACCACATCTCAAACAATTTCGGTGGGTATTGTACCTAAAATCGTCAAAATACCGAATATAGGGAGGTACTGATATATGGGGCCTATACGAAGACCTGGACCCGCACAGACAATATTCTGTCACAGACTGTACTTCCCATAACGAACTTCAAATACCAATTTTGAAACAATTCCGGTGAATAATGTTGCTAAAATCATCAAAATACCGAATATAGGGAGGTACCGTTATATGGGGGCTATATGAAGACGTGGACCTGCACAGAAAATTTTCTGTCTTAGGGTGTAGTATCCATTTTGAACTTCAAATACCAAATTTGAAACAATTCCCGTGAATAATGTTGCTAAAATCATCGAAATAACGAATATCGGGAGGTACCGTTATATGGGGGCTATACGAAGACGTGGACCTGCACAGACAATTTTCCGTCTTAGGGTGTAGTATCCATTTTGAACTTCAAATGCCAAATTTGAAACAATTCCCGTGAATAATGTCGCTAAAATCATCAAAATAATATATAGGGAGGTACCGTTATATGGGGGCTATATGAAAACGTGGACCTACATGGCCCATTTACAAACTTAACCTGTCTATTGGAAAAATAAACATGTGTGCAAAATTTTAGCCATCTATCTCAATTCATACGAAAGATAGCGTGATTACAACAGACAGACAGACGGACAGACAGACAGACAGACAGACGGACATGGCTAAATCGTCTTAGAATTTTACGCTGATCAAGAATATATATACTTTGTTGGGTCCGACATGAGTATTTCGAGGAGTTACAAACGAAATGACAAAATTAATATACCCTCCATAGTATGGTGGAGGGTATAAAAAAATCAAGAGGGAGGTAAAATGTGTGGAATGTTAATATAAAGAAAGAAAACACAAAGAAAGTACAGAAATGGAAAATCACCTGTAGTGTGACGTAAGACTATAGCACAGGAATGATGACTGGCCCGAACAAACGGATAAGGCAAACGAAACGAAATGGCAAGAAGTGGCTGTCCATAATGTGACAAACGCAGTAATTTTAGTTTTATCACCATTTCGGTCATCTTCATCATCATTATTGTCTTGATACATTGAGGCCAGATGTTGTTGGCCATTTCCATTATGCCATTGATCATCATCATGATTATCACTTTTAGTGTCATTATGAACATCATGTCCATGATGGTGGGCGTAATGTTCTTTGGTAGTGACCATTTGGGCATTATTTGTAGCTGGAATCAATTTCTTGGAATTGTTTCGTTTGTTTGCAAGACCGCTAAAACCACCACCGCCCGCACTGGAATCTGGGTCCAATGTCGTTTACATTGTGGACAAATATAAAACAAGAAACTTTCACATTGCATTGTTGGAAGCATAAAATACCTAGATCTGAGGTAACTGTGGCCATTGCATTTGTTGCTGATGTCGCTGCTGCTGACGTTATTGTAGTTGATAGTGGTACCATGTTGTGTTTGCAGGAATTCCACCTAGACCACTACCACCAGCACCTGCCGATGAAATACTTTTGCTCATAATTGTTTTTGTTGTGCTCTGAGTGGATGCCATTGCTGCGTATGATACTTGGCCAGAAGCTGTAGCTATTGTTATTGATGCTGTTGTTGATACCTTTGTTTACGTCGATGTAAACATGAAATTTGCTCTTGCTGTTTGCTCTTGTTTGTTTGTCTCTGCTATCCTCCTTTTCAGCCACAGCAAATTGAATCACACTTTTTCTTTCACAGCAATTGTCTGTCGTCTGAGGCGGCTAAAATTTTATGGAGAAACTATTGAGCTGTGTGAATATATATTTGTCATCGTTCTCTCTTTAAACTGAAATCGTTGGCGGTTTTGCTATTGCTGGCCAAAGAACTTTCAATCAAACGGTAAAAGAATTTTGTAAGTTTTATTTTGACATTAAAATTTTACAACTGTTTCAGGGTTTTCTTTGGCAGTTTGGTTTTATTCAAACCAAGTGTTTAGGATATATATCATTTGATATGGCCAAGAAGTGTTTCATCGAAATAACGGCTTTAGACCCCAGATACCTTTGGACCAAATCCGTTTCAGAACATTTGGAGTCGATCTAAGGGTGTCCGTCCATCTGTCTGTCTGGATGGTGCACACGATAGTTTTTCATTAAAACCATTGATAATGCCACCTCAACTTGTCTGATCTAATATGCCTATCCTAGTATGATAATTTCTACCATTCCTTCCCGGTTCTGTGGTTACGAATAATGCTCAAACGTGCTTACAACAAGTTTTAGAATCTTTTTTATGCCCTACAACACTATGTGTTGGGGATATTATAAGTTTGATTGGGCCAAAAATTATGTAACACCTTGAAATATTGGTTTCCCACATAGGAAAGTATATATGGATCTTCCTATCTCGCCGAGCTGAGTCGATCTAGCCATGTATGTCCGTCCGTTCGTCTGTCCGTCAGTCCATGTTAATTTGTAATCACTCTACAGGTCGCAATTATAGCCCGATCCTTACAAAATTAAAAATGGAGGTAGGGTTATGGTCAGAATAGAACCCTATTTCTTTTGGAGATGATCGCATAAAATTTAGGGGTTGAAATGGACCAAAAACTGAAAAATTTCCTGATTTTCTAGTTGTTCTACAAGTCACAATTATCGACCAATCGAAGCGGAAATTCGCATGGGGCTAGAGCTTCGGGCTGGGCAGAAGCCTTCCAATTTTGATGGTCATCGGGTAACATTTAGTGGGTGAAAAAGACTATACATTTGTGTTAAATAAAAGTCAAATTTTCCATTAAACCGCCAATATTTTTAATCCCGGCGATATCACAAATAGACCAACAGGTTAATTCTGAACGTTACGTAGATACCGATAGTAAATATATCGGTTCTATATAGCGAAATATATACAATGTGTGTATACAAAGGAAGGGGATGCTAGTTATAATGCTTATATCTCAAGAATGGCTGGACCGATTTTGACAAATTTTGTCAATTCAGAAGGCCCTCTTGACATAAAAGTATAAAATCTAAAAAATTGCATAAAAATATGCCAATAATGATGTTAATATAGATTTTGTAGTATTTTGTGACATTATTTTATTTTTTCGTATTTTTTATCGCATGCGATTTTTTCAATTTGACTTTTTTATATTTTCACCTTACAACACAGGTTGGGGATATTATATAAGTATTGCAAATATGGTCCGATCCTCACGAAAATTTTCACAAGGGTAGGGTTGGACTCAGAAGGGCTAGGCCTATTGTTTTCAAAGATGTCCGCAATATATTAGGGGTTGAAATATGCTGATTTCGTTGACGAATATAGCCAAATATCGTAGACAAGCAAATCATATAGATGAGTCTAAATTTTAAGATACAGAGGGGCTTCTTGCTTTTGGAGATGATTGCAACATATTTAGGGGTTCAAATTAACAAAAAACAGAAATGTTTTTGCATTCACACAATTGAAGCCAATCGACACGCCTGTGAAGAGAGTTAAGGACTGGGAAGAATTCTTGCATTTTAGATGACCACTGGATTATATTTAGCTGTAAAATGGACTACAACAACTAACAGTCCGACGGAGTGCATAAATGTGGGGCAAATGTCCCTAGTCAAAATCCTAATTTCAAAAGCGAAATCTTCCAATATGGATTTGGACATAAGGGGGCTTCTAACATATTGTAGTGTTGTAGGGTATAACATAGTCGGCCCCGCACGACTATAGTCTTTGCTTACTTTTTTTATTGTTTTGTCCTCCTTTTTCCTCATTGCTTTTACAAACAACAAACCATTTGGCAATACTTCAGTTAACTCTCTAGCTCTTTTAGTCTTTTGTTTCCATGATGATGTCGACGACCATCCCAATAATGATAATTGGAACTGTGTTGCTTGCGACTCTATCTACTATTCCCAACACATTCCATGCTAAGCATAAAAATGTTTTTTACCTGCAGAATCGAAACAACATTCAACAACAAATGCAGATTAAGTTTGATTTTAAATTGAGACATTTATATGCAAAGTGTTTTGAATTTTGGTTTTATAATGGCCGAAAGCTGCCAAAGTTGTTAATTTCTTGCGGCTGGGCATGTGTTGCGTATGAGATTTTGATGTTTGGCTTTTGCTGTAATCTCTATTCAACATGGCACACATAGAGAACATTGAGAGCAATTTCAATATAGTCAATTTCCGAAAACTTGATGTGAAGGCATTTTGAATTTTAAATAGCCTCGTTTGGAGGGAATTTGGGTAGGATGTTGCCTTAGATTCTATGAACTTAATTTTGATTTTGCATACCAGCAGGCAAAATTGAGAATTTCGAACACGACACAAAAAATATTATATGCCAATATTTTTTGTTTCATGTTCGAAATTCTCAATTTTGCCTGGAAATATTAATAGAAGATAATTTAGGAAATATGTTATTAAATGGATTTTTAATAACAGACTATTGTACCATAACAAATCAACCAAGGACGAACGCTATTGAAATTGGTGATAATCGGACCAGATTTGGATATAGCCCCATAGTGTTTTCTGTTTTTATTAGTATTATACGTTAAGTGTGTAATATCAGTCAAGTTAGGTTCGGCTCAAATATGGCTATAGCTCCAATATATATCTAAGTCACCCAAATCCAAAAAATGTACCCCATAACAAGGATTTCCAGTTCAAATTTTTGGTACGTCCGGAAAATAAGTTTTGCGAGTTTTGAGGAGATTGGTTCAGATTTAAATATGTCTCGCATATATATTTTCTAATTTGATGTAAAAAATACATAGAGAATGCCACTTCAGATCCGATGAAGTAGCTTCATTCAATTTTATATTTAACTATTTTGCTATTTGGATAGAAAGGTCACAAATAAATAAATTTACCTCAGTCAGGTTTTGTGGAAATCGATTAAGATATAGCTTTTATAGGTTAGTTTTAACCTATATCAATTTTAAACCGCTGTAAAGCCTAAATACAAAATTTACATCTAAATTTCCAATATAAATGTTTATTCGCTACACGTGACTCTACCAAAAATCATAGTGGTGTTGGGTATCATAAAGTGTGGACCGCCCGACTTCTGTCTTTCCTTACTGGTTATTCTTTGTAAATAAAAGGATTAGTAATCTTCTAATAATTGTGCAGGAAACTGCAATTTTTTGAAGTTGAGTGGCAACATACTTCCTCGTAATAAGCGTATTTCAAATTACGGGTTGTGTTGTTTTTTAGTGTTAGCCGAAGGCGTTGTGGGTCAATGGTTCTTATTAAAATCATATCCCAATCTGATCCGATTTAAATATAATTTACAAAAAAATACTTTTACACCAAATTCCGCCACACCTTTCATATTTCATTGAAATTGGTGCGTCAAATATGTGAAATCGGCCGACAATATATATATGGTTGCTATATCCAAATCTTAACTAATTTCCAATTAATTTATCACATTTATTATTGTAACCAAATTCCGCCACACAATCAGAATTTCATTGGAAACGGTCATATATATCGTGTTTGGTGCATAACATGTATGAAATCGGCCGAAATATATACGTTAGCTATACCCAAACTTCAACCGATTTCAATATAATTTGGCAACTTTTTCTGGTGCCAGATTTCGTCTCTCTCGCTTTGGGTGCATCAAATATGTGAAATTGGTCGAGAATATATATGGGAGTTATAATCAAATCTGAGCGTATTTGAATATAATTTGTCAAATTTATTTTTGTACCAAATTTAGTCACTCATACCGAATTTCATTGGAATCGGAAATATGTATCGTGTTTTGTGCATCAAATATGTGAAATCGGCGGAAAATATGTATGGGAGCTATATCCAAATCTGAACCGATTTTTATATAATTTGACTAATTTATTTTCTAATCAAAATCCCGTCACATATTCCAAATTTCTTTGGAATCGAACATACATATCGTGTATGGTGCATAAAATACATGAAATCGATCGAAAATATATATGAGAGCTATATCCAAATCTGAACCAATTTTAATAGAATTTGACTAATTTATTTTCTAATCAAAATCCCGTCACACATTCCAAATTTCATTAAAATTGGACATACATATCGTGTTTGTTGCACCAAATACATGAAATCGGCCGAAAATGTATATGGGAGCTATATCCAAATCTGAACCGACTTCAATATAATTTGACAAATTTATTTTCGGATCAAATCCCATCAAAACTTCCAAATTTCATTGGAATCGAACATTCATATCGTGTTTGAGACATCAAATGAACGAAATTGGTCGGAAACATATATGGGAGCTATATCTAAATCTGAACCGATTTCAATATAATTTGGCAAATTTACTTTTGTTCCAAATTCCGTTAGGCATTCCAAATTTGGAGACTGTATCTGTAATCGATAAATAGATATGTGCACATAAAATCTAAATTTTTGGGAGGTACATCCGATTCTGATGCTATATATCCAGTTCCAAGTGGAATTTCAAAAATGTATATAGCCTATTTTACTTTCAGGCGATGTTGCAGTATACATGGAAATTTTCAGGAAAATCTGTTCAGCGGTTTTCGAGTCCATAAATTACAAACAAACAAACATACAAACATTTTCCTCTTTTATAGATATAGATTCTTAAATGATGCAAAAATCGGAGTCCATAGTTTAATATTTGTGACCTATGGAGTACAGTAGCTCCTGAAATCTGAATCTGAAAAATAATTAATTTTTTCCTTTAAATATTTTCCGATAATTTCCAGAAATGATAGGTTTCTATTGTGACCCTGATTCCGTGGAAGGGAGGATTCGGTCCTGATTAGGTCTGTATTTGGCCTACCGCCAATATTTCCAGGATTTTCAAAATGTTTGGTCTAAAAGCAGACAAAAATACATATTTATTACCTATAAATTATAATCTCCATTCTATGGCTGTATGGCAGTAACGTAAGCAGAAATTCATACCGAAACCATTTCGGGGCCCCAACTAGGAACATAATAACTTTCCATATTAATCATACAAAAAATATTGCTATGATCAAAATTAAATTGTTATCAAATTTTAAAACAAGTAAGCAAAGGCTATAGTCGTGCGGGGCCGACCATGTGATACCCTACAACACTACAATATGTTAGAAGCACCCTATATCCAGATCGATTTTGGAAGATTTCGCTTTTGAAATTATGTCACCAGGGACATTTGCCCAATATTTATGTGCACCGTCGTGCTTTTAGTTGTGTGGTCCATTTTACAGCTAAATATAATTCAATGGTCATCCAAAATACTAGAATTATTCTCTGTCCTTAACTCTCTTCTCAGACGTGTCGATTTGCTTCAATTGTCTAATTACGAATTTTTTTCTGCTTTTGCTTCATTTGAAACCCTAAATATTTTGCAAAAGTAAGAGGCCCCTCTGTACTTCCAAATTTAGACTCATCTATATGATATGCTTATCTACTATATTTGGCTATATACGTTAACGAAGTCAGAATAAAAAAGCCACAAGTTCGCATTTTGTGTATTTCGGATATCGCCTGTAAGTAATGTTGGTATTTTTTCATACAAAAGTAGTGGTCCATTCTACCCGCTGTCCTTAACTCTAACTTCATACGAGATTTTGTGTTCATTAGTTTATATTTGTGATCTTTATAGCGGCTGCAAAATCAGGAACATTTTTAGTTGTTGGTCAATTTTAACCCCTAAATATATTGTGGACATCTTTGAAAAAATAGGCCTGGCCCTTCTGAGTCTAACCTTACCCTTATGAAAATTGTCGTGAAGATCGGACGATAATTGCAATCTGTATACAATAACCCCAACCTGTGTTGTAAGGTGAAAAAATATATCATTCTTACTAACATCCCCTTCCTTTGTATATACTCATTGTATATATTTCGCTATATATATCCGATATATTAATACCGGCATCTACGTAACGGTCAGAATTGACCTATTCGTCTATTTGTGATTTCGCCGGGATTTAAAATATTCGCGGCTTAATAGCAAATTTGACTTTTATTTAGCACAAATGTTGTAGCCTATTTCACCCACTAGATATTACCCGATGACCATGAAAATTGGAAGGCTTCTGCCCAGCCCTAAGCTCTAGCTCCATGCTAACTTCCGCTTTGATTGGTCTATAATTGCGACCTGTAGAGCAACTGCAAAATCAGGAATCTTTTTAGTTTTTGGTCCATTTCAACCCCTAATCATCTCCAAAATAAATAGGGTTCTATTCTGGCTCTAACCCGACCTCCATTCTAAATTTCGTGAAGATCAGGCCATAATTGCGACCTGTAGAGTGATTACAAATTAACATGGACAGATGGACGGACGGACATACATAGCTAGTTCGACTCAGCTCAGCGAGATAGGAAGATCCATATATGTTTTCCAATGTGGGAAACCAATATTTCGTGGTGTTACATAATTTTTGGCCCAATCAAACTTATAATACCCCCAACACATAGTGTTGTAGGGTATACATTTAAAAATTACAGACATAATTGTAGAAAACAACTTTTGGACCTTTTGGACGAGGAAACTTAATTGATTATTAGTTCTAAAAGTAAACAGTTATTAATAAATAACTTTTAAAAATGTGATGAATAGTTGAACAAGTTTTGGTAGCTACTCGTATATGAATTTATAAGCAGTTGTAATTTAATTAAAATATGGCTCTCTTTAACGTTACTGAAGAGAAAGCATTTGATATATGTTCTCTCAGTTAAAACAAATTTATGTTTCTCCCACACTTTTTAAGTTGTTTGTGATAATTTGCAATGTGAATAATAATACCGGCATAATAGTTCCCCTGTATAAAAAAAAAACAACAATACGAAAAAATGTAAACAAACCGGTAAAATCTAATCGGATCATGCGTATTGTAAACAAACTCACCTTTATTTATAAAATAGAGAGAACAAGAATTTTGAGAGAAAATGTTATCAAGTGCATTTTGGTAGGAAAAATGTTATTTGTGTGTTGTTTTCTGTTGCACAACATGGCCATGTTAAGGTTGGCATAAATATAAAAGAACAACTACGATGATTCTATTGCTCATGGCCCGGAGAGGACATACCGTTAACAGAGGTTAACTAACACAATGTTGCAGCCTTGACGCAGTAGTTAATGGCGAGCACTGATTGCCAACGGTCGTGTTTCAAAATTTAAAGCGACAGACGGTAACCCAATATAAAGTGAATCATAATCTTGACAACAGTTTTTATATGGAACCGGTAAAGCGAAATTGTAAATGAAGTAAATGGATATTGTCAACAACACCTTTTTCGGGGAATGCAAATTAAAGGGCGTAATTTAAGAAGAACACAACCGCCAAGTGGATAAAAACAGCGACATATAAAAAACTAATTTAAGAGAAAATTAACCTAATTTTCTGGTATTATATTGTTGATTTCATATCCAAACTAGAAGGCTTCAAAAAGGTTGGAAAATTTAAAAACGGATTATATTAAAATGCTTCTAAGGATTTAATTAAAATATTTATATCCATTAAACATCATTTTAAAAAATTAATTTGCCGACAATATTAATGACCATTCCACAATTACAAACATGTTAAGGAAACTGTTTTAAGTCCACAGGCATTTTTACGCACTTTACCACGTCAGATTGTAGGAGTGACCTTAAAAGTATTTGTATGTAGGAATGTAGTCATTTCTGCCGCTGCTAACAATTTTGGTGGTAATACGAATGAATTAATGATATACAATTATCCGGAAATATATTTTCCAATTTTAGTTGTAATAAAAATAAGTTGGCTATTCATTAATTTTACTAAGTAATTGTAATTGAGGAAAGTTGATATTTATTTTTCTCTATTTCTTTTATATATTTTTGTCTTAACGTTTATATGGCAAAATAAAAAACAAACCAACAACAGCGAAATACAAAGAAAATAATGAATATTGTTAATATATTGATATTTTAACATTATTGTAAATAGCGTTCAAAAATATACTCAGAAATGGATAGCCAAAGGATAATGACCCGAAAAATATTTTGGTGAGTAAAGAGACGAGAACTTGTAAAGAAAGTTATTTGCTACTAAGGATGGCGCCTATTGCGAACTTCAAATATAAAATACTATCAGGACCGGTCCGCGTTGTCGACCCGTACTTTAAGTCTTTTATGCCAATTTTTAATTTTAATAAATCTCAGATCTGACTTATGTAAGCGGCACAATTTTTATACCCTCCACCATACTATGGAGGGTATATTAATTTTGTCATTCCGTTTGTAACTCATCGAAATACTCATGTCAGACCCAACAAAGTATATATATTCTTGATCAGCGTAAAATTCTAAGACGATTTAGCCATGTCCGTCTGTCTGTCTGTCCGTCTGTCTGTCTGTCCGTCTGTCTGCCCGTCTGTCTGTCTGTTGTAATCACGGTATCTTTCGAACAAATTGAGATATAAGGCTAAAATATTGCACACATGTATATTTTTCCAGTAGGCAGGTTAAGTTCGTAAATGGGCCATGTAGGTCCATGTTATCATATAGCCCCCATATAACGGTACCTCCCGATATTCGGTATTTTGATGATTTTAGCGACATTATTCTCCGGAATTGTTTAAAATTTGGCATGTGAAGTTCGTAATGGATAGTTCAGCCCATGTCAGAAAATTGTCTGTGCAGCTCCATGTCTTCGAGTAGCCCCCCATATAACAGTATCCCCTATATTCGGCATTTTGATGATTTTAGCTACATCATAAACAGATTTTTCTTCAAGTTTCGCCTGTAAATATTATAATAACTTATGACACAAGTTGCCTATGCAGGTCAACGTCGTCTTATAGGCATTCGGTATTTTTAAGATTTTAACAGAATTTTTCACGGATTTTATTTATTTATTTATTTATTTTTTTTTTTTTTTTGAAATCGCCAAATTTGTACCAAATGGTGGAGGGTATTAAAAGTTCGGCCTGGCCGAACTTACAGCTTTTTTACTTGTTATTATAAGTAATAACTCTATAGTAATTTCGAAATAGAAATAAATATTCATGCAAAAATTATAATTGATGTTCACCTACCGTCGGTTTTAGATATTTTGAATAGCCTGATCTTATTTTTCAGCCATCGACTGAAAAATGGCCAAGACCCCGAAAATATCTTAAATCATGATGGTGATACCAAACCATGATAGGTTTTTGCAAGGATGGTTTCTTCGCAAATTACTGCCATCATTTGCCGAAATTAGTTTTAAAAATATAGTTAAAATTTAAAATATACTTGATACCGGATTGTACCCTTATCCGAGGGTTATGACCCATAGCTTAACCTGCAAAATCGATTTAAGGTATTTTGAAAATTAGGAAACATTTCTGGAAGGATATAAATTTCACCAATTGCAGTCTCAATGAATTTTGCATTTTGAATTCTCATTGGACGGATTATTGTCATATGAAAGAAATAGGTCCACGTTTTGAAATGAGCCCATAACGCTTTGTCGGTCAATTTTGTTTGTTAAATCTGTTTGTATCTTCCAGCTGAAGCACGATGTAGGTCCTGGAGTTTAAAGCTAGATGCCAATCTTAGACATGAAAGATCGCCATTTAACATTGTATTGCGGACTCATTTAAAAAAAGAAAAAAAACCTTCAACTTGTTCGCTGATTTTTTATAGAAAATGTTTAAAAGTCCTTACGAAGTTTGTCAATAGAACGTACTATAATTTTGAAATTCGATCCCATTGACATTTTTTTTCTCGATTTTTTCCCGATTATAAAATTTTTGCATTGAGGTGTGCTTTTTTGTAATTTATCAGTGATTTTGAAAAAGTAATTATCCTTTGGACATCATCTACTCAGTTTCGCCACCACATGATTCGGTACTACATTCTATGTAGCCCGCCTGCAATTTCAATTCTCTAGAAATCGAGACAATTAAACAAAGTTAATTGAATTGAATAAACCGTACGTACACATTAAAAATAGATTTTTTTTCATAGCTTATCCTCTTCTGAAATGATTTTATTCGGATAGTTTGAAATCTACATAAAATCTATAAATACCAGTTTTCTTCCGTTGCCACTTTTAACACCCCAAAAGACACGTCATATTAGAATTCAAAAACAAAAAAACTACAAATGTACATTCGAAAATAGTAAGTCAAAACAAGTAAAAAAACATTAAGTTCGCCCGGGCCAAACTTTTAATACCCTCCACCTTAGGGTAAAAGAAACATTAGAAGCAATGTGGCAAAAACCATTAAAATGCTGAATATCGGGAGGTACCGTTATATGGGGGCTACACCAAAACGTGGACCTATAATTACAATGTTTCGCCACACGAACTAGGACCCATTATGACCCACAAATACCAATTTTTAGACAAATCAGTGAAAAAATGTGGCAAAAGAACTAAAATACCGAATATCGGGAGGTACCTTTATATGGGGGCTATACCACAAAGTGGACCTATACATGCAATGTTTTGCCACACGCTCAGGGACCCGTTATGACTTACAAATACCAGGTACCTTTATATGGGGGCTATACCAAAACGTGGACCTATAATTACAATGTTTCGCCACACAAACTAAGACCCATTATGACCCACAAATACCAATTTTTGGACAATTCAGTGAAAAAGTGTGGCAAAAACCATCAAAATACCGAATATCGGGAGGTACTGTTATATGGGGGCTATACCAAATCATGGACCCATACATGCAATGTTTCGCCACCGGAGCTAGAACCCATTATGACCAACAAATACCAATTTTCAGACAAATTCGTGAAAAAAATGTGGCATAATTCATCAAAATACCGAATATCGGGAGGTACCGTTATATGGGGACTATACCAGAACGTGAACCGATATATCTCATTTTCAATACCAACCATCCTAGACACAATGCAAATAGCTCTACTAAATTTTGGCGCTCTACGTCAAATAATGTGGGCTGTATCGTGATTTCAACAGACAGACAGATGGAAAGACAGACAGACGGAAATCGTTAAATCGACTTAGAATTTTATGCTGATTATGAATATATTTACTTTATGGGGTCTAAGACGAATATTTAAGGATGTTACAAACGGAATGACAAAGTTAATATACCCTCCTTTCCAAGGTGGAGGGTATAATGAAAAGAAATCATGCAAGATAAAACATTACTATTGTATATTTCAAAAGTCAAAATGAAAACGTTTAAATTTCCCATTTTTACGCGATTTGTTATTATCCTTTTCCGCCAAGAGACAATTCCAAAATTGTCTAAATCGTTAAAATCATAGCAGCGGTTCTTGAGTTATAAGCGTAGTAACTAACACAACTTTCTTTTATGTATATAGATAGATGAAACACCATACTTAGGAAATGTTGCTACAATAGTAAAAATACCAAATATCGGGAGGTACCATGGGAGTTAAAGAAATACGTAACTAAACTCTAAATATCAAGTTTTAAACAATTCTGTTATAAAATGTGGATTAAATCCTTAAAATATTGAACATCTGGTCTTGTCTGCTAACAAAATACTGTTCACATGGCCTTCTATCACTATTTTTTCGTAAGCGTATTCGTGAAAGATTTGTTCGGTATTACAAGAGACAAACAGGCGAAAATAGTTTAATCGAATTAGAACTTTGTCGAAGTACTTATTTTCATTGACTGCGATTTTTTTTGGGTATTCGTAATTTTTATTATATTCGGAAAAAATATTTTAGACATTTTTATACCCTACACCACAAGGTGGTCAGGGTATTATGTCTTTGTGCATTTGTTTGTAACAGGCAAAAGGAAACGAGATAGACCCATAGTTCCTTTTGATGATCTGCATAGAATCACATTCTGAGTCGATTTATGCATGTCCGTCCGTCCGTCCGTCCGTCCGTCCGTCCGTCCGTCTGTCCATGTATTTTTGTAAACAAAGTACAGTTCGCATTTATTGCCCTATCCAGATGAAATTTTGCACAAATCATTGGTTTGGCCCAAGGACGAATCCTATTGAAATTTGAGATAATCGGTCAAAATGTAGATATAGCTCCCATATATATCTTCGTCCGATTTGCCTTTTATTGTGCACCAAACGTGTAAAATCAGTCCGAATACTATGGAATTTTGCACGTACGATCAGATTGGATCTGAAAATAAGCATGCCAAATTTGATCGAAATCGGTTCAGATATAGCTATAGCTCCCATATATATTGTTCATCCGATTTGTTATTTTTGTCCTCCGCAGCCGTAATATGCACTCTGTAACAACAATATTTGGAAAAATATATCAAATACAGCTCAGAAATACATTTGCTAAATTTTATCGATATCGGTTCAGATTTGAATATAGCTCCCATATATAACTTCGTCCGATTTACTTTTGATTGTGCACCAAACGTCTAATATTTGCCCAAATTTGATGAAATTTGGCACTTTCGACCGAATTGAGTCTAGAAGCTAGTATGTCAAATTTGGTGAAG